AATACAGATATTGGAAATATAATGTCACCAGAATATCATACATCAAATAACCCTCAGAGTGCACCAGTTAATTTCCAAATGGGGAGTGTGTTTCAGAATAAAGACAGGGATAATGACAGAAGCTCACCTCCATTCAACACTCATGGTTCCCAGATTCAGTTTGCAAGCTTTTCAGCTGATCATGCAACATCATATGCTCGCATGCAGTACAGGCCAAAGGTCAATTCAAAATTAGAACACAGCCCTAGGTTGCCTGTCAATAGGCCAGGACCATACACAGTTCTACCAAACATAGAAGACCAAAATAAAGGTAAACACTCTTAAATAGTTCCTTTTTATATATTGGGAGAAAAGTTTGAAATATAGGCCTACAGTAATTGGATTAAAAATATATTTTTACTCTTTTTTTTTCTAATGACAATTTAGGATCCGACGAGTTGCGAAAGAGTGACCCAGATGGCTATCTAGCTAAGATGCAAAAATCAAAACAAGGACCACAATATAAACAATATACACTAAAAGATTATCAAAAACTGAAGGTAGATACAAAACTTGGAGGCTTAGGTCCAGACACTGAAGCTGCTCAAATAAAGGTAATTGTGTATTAAATTATTATTGTTTTATCGAATGTAAAGAACACCTAATGCAGTGATGGCAAAGGGAATTTTAAATGTTAAGTCTTGCAACCAAATTAAGGTCTGCAATTAAATACATAATAGAATAAATCAATTTTTTACAGCAAGAAAAAGTAATGCGACAAAGAGAGTATGCCAAGCTAGTTATGATGCAAAACCGTAAGGCGTTTCAGAAATCCAAAGCACCAGGATGGATTCCTCAGCAGCCATCTCCACAAGATAGAGGTCTAACTAAACGGGATATAGTAAGTTGATATCGATAATATATTTATTTTACATAATTGCTTCACCATCTGGACATTTATGGTAGTGGTTATGGTTGTAGACTTATGAAGCGCATAATACTAGGTCTCTATGCCCTTTCAATAAATGCCTAAAAGAAGTTGAAAAAAGAAATAAGACTAAGGAAAAGCAAAACAATCAACAAAAAGAAAAACAATTTTAGTGAAGAATATATCAGTTTTTGCCTGCCGTATTTTTAATTTAGGTCAAAAGCTCTATTATTAATCATTAGGGTGAATCCATGGAATAACAATGATCCTCTGAT